TGTCCAGATATAATTGATCCTGTGAGGTGGAACCTGCTCAGGGTTTTCAGCTCTCATACAAACCCTGAATAACGAATGTGAACTTCAAGGCTGAAACTCGGAGTAAATTCATGTAAGAAAACAAAAGAATATAAATCTTGCCGGTCGTGTCCTCTGGAGTCTGTCCTCACAGAAACCGTCTTTATTCAGCCTCTGACTGAACTCAAATCCAAACAATGGATTTTCCTCTGAAGATCTTGTTTGAGTCTCACGCAGCAGGTTTAAACAATAATCCGTCAGATATCAGATCACAACGCTGTCGTTATTAGAATATTATTGGATTATTATCCGTGAGAGAAAAACAACAGAGGACAGAGAGAAAATTAAAGATTATTGCAACATGTTATTATTGGACTGATGAGAATAAACTGGATTTCTTTCTTTCTGTTTTCACACAGATTCATTATGGAAATGAAGAAAAAAACTTCTCCTGTGAAACAACATTGAAGATTTACATTCAACATTTCAGCCAATCACGTGGTTCACACTGAAGCAGTCTCAGGTCAACGTTTTACTATATTTCAGTGGAATATAACTAGTATTTAGTACTCAGTACTAGACTTCATACTTGTACTCCACCACATCTATCTCTGCTAACACTGCTGAAGTCATCTGAGGCTCTGTTGAGGCCCCGCCCATACAAAGTGGTTTAAAAGACCTTTGATCTGATGACTTCACACTAAATGTTTACATGTTGCAAACAGTAAACATTTCTGTGGCTCGGTTTCCTGTTGTAGAAACGTCTTGAATGAATGAATGAATTCATCATTAACACATAAACTGAGGATTCGTTCTTTGGGACTTAAATAGAAATTGAAACGTTAAGTTTGCTTCTGACAACATCTCGTCATTTGTTTCTTATCATTTACAAACCGATCAATCGATCGATCGATGATTAAAAACAGCACATTGATGATGGTGCTGCAGTATGACGTCACTCTGACCGGAGCTTTCAGGTGACTCACCGGACACGTTCATCTTTCCTCCCAGGAACCAGCGGATCCTCCCGCGGCTCAGGTCGCAGTCCTGTACCCGGTGGAAAGGCTCCATCCAGCGGAGTCTGTCAGCGGCGGCTCCCCAGAACTGATCCGGGTCCGTGATCGAGAGCCGGTACAGGTCCGGGTGAGACAGGTGGGACAGCCCGGAGCTCCACGTGCCGGCTGCCGCCACAGGAGACCGGCAGCCGCCCCCCGGGGTCCTGCACCGGCTCAGCAGGCTCCTGAAGAACCGGGCCCCTCTGGTGTGAGCGGCCATGTTGGTCCTTTGGGTCCAGACTGTCTTCAGTAACACACCCCCACCCTCACCCTCACCCCCACCCCCACCCTCACCCTCACCCCCACCCTCACCCTCCCCCTCACCCCCAGGTGAGCTCAGGTGATCTATGGAGGAAGTTTGGTGCCAAAATGAAAATGTTTCTAGAAACTTCCTCAAACTTCAGTTTGTGACTCACTGACCCATCATTTAGATTTTCATTATTATTTACCAGTTCATTGAAATGATTATTAAATAATAAAGCACAGAAGTTTTCCACGTTAAACTAAGACAAATGACAACTGAACCAAAACCACCAGTTTTATTTTGCGACCTCATGATTTTACATAAACTAGAATAACGGGTTCTGATGTCCAGTGACTCGTGATTAACTACAGACTGTTAGTTGACTTTAAAAATGTGTAAATCTGTTGTTTGAATTAAAAGTTCGGGATGTAACGACAGGTGTGAACAGATTCATGTGATGATAAAGTTGTGACTTTAAAAAGTTAAAAACTAAAAATCTGAGGAGCAGAAACATGTAAATTATTTTACAGTTTTTCACAATTGTTAAAACACATTTTTTGAATCCTCCTTTTCTCAGAATTCTAAACACAAAACTCTTTTCTCAAACTACTCTCACAAAACCTCGGATTCTTTTTGCAGAACCACACCATCGCCTCAGAATAGTTTCACATGTGCTCAAACCTGAACAATGTTGTCAGACGAATCGGTCACAATAGAAAAACTGCTGAGCTGTCATCAAACACTGCAACAAAAACTTGAAAACACAGTGGTCGAGGCCTGTTGCTCATGGAGAAATGTTCATTGGTCACAATAAAGAACTTTACACAGTTGATCATTGAGCTTCGTTGAGCGTCATCCTGTCTTTGGGCTGGGTCAGGCCCTGACACTTCTCCTCACCAGTGTCATCACAGGCTCGTTCCATGGCCTCGAGAAGATTACTGTGAGTCTGGTGAAGGGCTGTCGCTCGTACACCTTCCATCTCCAAGCGGAGGAAAACTCCTCTGTTGCATTGAAGGGAGAGTACGGTGGCAGGTAGAGGTTACTGTAATGATATTCTGATTCATATTGAACCATTCTCTGACTTGGACAGCACGGTGAAAACTAACATTGTCCCAAATCATAACATCAATATTCCGCTCCATCATCTCATGTTCCTGCTGTTCATTGCAGACAACTCATCTCTAAGACCAAGAAAGGTGAGAAGGTGCTGGGTGTTCCAGTACATGGCCTGAGTGGCACGATGGTGAAGAACACCCCGGCTGCTTACAGCAGCACACAGTGTTATATTACTGTACCGCCATTGGAAATTGCCTCTCTTCGTCTTCCTCTCCCTCCTCTTCCTCTCCCTCCTCTTCATCTCCCTCCTCTTCCTCTCCCTCCTCTTCCTCTCCCTCCTCTTCATCTCCCTCCTCTTCTTCTTCTTCCTCTTCATCTCCCTCCTCTTCCTCCTTCTTGTCCTCCGCCTCTACCTCCTCTTACACACACTCGTCCTCTGTGTCTCTGATCCATTGTTGTCATGAGCTTGCAGGACCAACCTGCTGCACTCTGAACTTATATTGGTTTTCATGTTGTCACGACATGAAGAGAAACAAGTGTGATCAAGTTTGAATCGTTGTGTTCAATGGATGACACGTGTGTTTCACTTGTGTTCATATTTTACTGCTGGTTTTCACCGTTATGCGTCACAAGTGCATCACAGAGACAACTGTGTTTTATTGCATGAGAATGTGTTCAGAGTTTTGAAAGAGGAAAGACTGAGACCTGCAGATAGTGTTTCACTGGGTGAGGATAGTTCATGGTTCAGTCAAAATGATGCTCAATTCAGTGACTGAGTTCAGACAACGGAGCAACGGATTCACACAACAGGAAATGGTGTTTTAGCAATTCAGAAAACCTCTAACAGGTAACCCACACTGCCCCCTGTAGGTACACACAGGAAGTGCAGATTGAATCAGCTTGAACTGGTTTAAACTTAAACAGTTTACTCACATACTTGTTCCACAGCTTTCCAGGGACCACACTGTCCTCATCAGTTGTCCTGCAACTGTCGGCATCAAATATCTGGACTCAAACTCACTGACTCGTTCAGACTGTTTCACCCGAAAGCTCTGGAACTAAAGCCTGTAAATGAACCTTGAATGGTTCAAACTAAAATAAAACAGAATCAACTGCTAAATTATTTTCTTACAAGCACCAAATATAATTTGAACTATTAACTTCATTGATTCATCTTGAAAAAAATATTAATTTACAAACTACAACTAAAAAATATGAAAAACTGAAGCAACAGAAAACAAATGATCGAAACAGCAGAAGTGAAAAACAAAAATAAAGTGATGAAGACGCATCAGTTTGTTTTCAGGTTTGAGGAAATGAATTTATTAACCTGATGTAATCAGATTACTTTGACTGTTAATACCTGATGATCTGACCAAGAGAAGACAGACAGACACACACACACAGAATTATCTGCTGAAAACTCCGTTTTCATGATGTGATGGAGCAGGTCAGAGTGTCCACATACTTTTGGTCATGTAACCTGCTGGTCAGAGGTCAGAGGAGCCGGCCTCTGCTGAGTGCGTCTCAGGTGAGCCTTGGTCTGCAGATGAGCCTTGAGGAAGGTGAGGAGGCGGAAGTGTTTGCCGCAGGTGTGGCAGCTGTGCGGCGTCTCTCCACTGTGGATGCTGCGGTGCCGCAAGAAGCTGGAAGCCATGTTGAAGGTCTTGGCGCAGAGCGAGCAGCTGTAGGGCTTTTCGCCGCTGTGCGTGTATCTGTGGTCCCTCAGCCGCTCCTTCAGACGGTAACTCTTCCCACACAGGTCGCAATGGAACGGTTTCTCCCCTGTGTGGCTCCTCTGATGAACCTTGAACTGTGACAGGTTGGGGAACTTCTTGCCGCAGACCTCACAGGTGATGATGGCGTCTCTGGCCAGCAGCTCGTCAGCGGTCAGCTCCTGCGAGTGTTTGCTGATGACGTGGTTCTTCAGGCAGCGGTAGCTCTTCCCGCAGATGGAGCAGAGCTGCCGCTCTCCAATGTGGATCGCTTGGTGGCTGCGCAGGTTGGCGGCCTGGGTGAAGCCTTTCCCGCAGGTGGAGCACTGATACGGCCGCACATCCTGGTGCACAAGTTTGTGACGCGTCAGGTGGCAGGCGTGATAGAAGCTCTTCCCGCAGACGTCGCAGATAAAGGTCTTGTCGAAGTGCGTCATCCTGTGCGTCTTCAGCACGCTGACGCAGGAGTAACCCTTCCCGCAGACGTCGCAGTGGCAACTTTTTTCTCCCGTGTGACGCGCCTTCACGTGCAGGTTGCGATGAGCTTTGTGGTTGAATCTCTTCGGACAGTAGTCGCAGGTGTACGGCAGCAGCCCATGCTCTTTGCTCTCGTGTTCACGTAGCTTCAGGATGCCGGTGAACTGCTCCCTGCACACCGAACACAGAGGGTGAGACTTCCTGTGGTGGTCGGAGAGTCGCTCTGAGTTTGGAAACAACATCCCACACTGTGAACACTCGTAGTGAATCTCTTGTGACTGAGCAGTCGCTGTGTTTGTGTCTTTATTCCTACGACTGCGGCGCTGCTTCCTGCTGTGAGCTGCAGGCACTGAGCCCTCCTCTGCTGCAGGGGCGCCGGGCGGCGGAGAGGACGGCTGAGCGTACTTGTGGTCGGGGAAATCAGCGGGGGCGGAGTGAGTGAGAGTCGTCACTTCACCTGGGACCTCAGTGGTTTTATCTTCACCTATGAAAGCAGAGGTTACTCAGGGTCATCGAGGACGTAAACTTAAACCGACAGATTATTTATCAATAACATCGATCAGAAGTTCCTAACCAAAGGATTTATATGCATCTATAATCTGAGATTATCCGTAAATTCAAGAATCAGAGGACTAATCTCTACATCCATAAATGTGACACAGGTCACCAGAGGGCACTGATGTCTCTGTTTTCACTGTGTGCTCACAAGATGGCTGACTCTATAGTTCTAATGTAGGTAACGGTGTGTTTCCTTTGGTCGCCTGTTGGTGGCGTCATATCCTCTTTGTGTATGTCTGAAAAGTCAAAAGTGACTTTTTATCCAGTTTGAAGTCACATTGTCGTGATAAACTTTTTAAAACGTTAGCGGCAGCTCGACTCGTCAGAGAAACACTGAGTTTAACATGACGCTGCTTTATTCAGAGTTTTTACTGAAGTGAATCTTTAGTCATTGTTCTGTCAGAGAGACCTCTAGTGGGAGACAGTTGTGTGTTTACGTGTTTTATCTCTCAGGTAAACTCACCACCAGCATCGGCGCTGCCCTGCAGGGAGACCAGCAGACACTTGGAGTCGACAGCAGCGCTCTGAGAACAGGAAACAGTTGACAGTTCAGGGTTGTTTTCTCTTCTCTGATTCTCTGAATGTTGTGTGGATTCACTCACTGACCCGTAAACCAGGATGTAGGTTTGTTCACCACCAACGTCCTCAACTGAAACACACATTAGAAACATCACCGTTAAGTAGAGAGAAATCGTTCTTCCTGTAGCTGAGTCGTTCAGAACCATCTGAGAATCCTCATCCACAACTGAAGAGTCACAGCATCAAACCCAAGTTTGAACTTTATTCAAGGTGATGTCTGGTTTTGTTTCCAGCTGCTTCCTCATCGTCCTCAGTGAAAATAAACTGTGACATTGACAGCAGAGACGTGTGAGTGTGAATCAGATGAAAACTTCCACTTCAGTTCAGTCTGAGTCTCTCGGCCGTGACACCAGGCGAGAGACGGGGTCACTCTGGACGTCAGCCAAGGTTTAGAGACTCCAGAAATTATCTCTGTAATTGGTATCAAACCCAGGATATTGATGTGACGAAGGTTCAGTCTCCTCATTCTTCCTATTTGGTTTGTTAGAGATAAAAACTCACCTTCATGTATCTTTGTCTTCATCACATCAGACTGAGGACGATCACTCTGGCCTCCTGGAGTCTCGTCCTGCTGCTCAACAGCCGCCTCAACAATCTGCATGATTTTCTCCACAGCTTCGACACACAGAGCGTCAACCAGAGCTCCCAGTTTGTCCTGAAATAATATGAGCAGTCACAAAGCTGCTTTTGCACTGAACTTCAGATAATCTCCTGACATGTTCCTGACATGTTCCTCACATATTCCTGACGTGTTCCTCTCGTCTTCCTCACATATTCCTGACGTGTTCCTCTCGTCTTCCTCACATATTCCTGACGTGTTCCTCACATATTCCTCACATGTTCCTCACATGTTCCTCACATATTCCTGACGTGTCCCAGACATGTTCTGCAGGTTCT